GGTTTCTCTCCAGTATGAACTTTATGATGGTATGAAAAAGATGACATGTGACTGAAGGTCTTGCCACACTTACTACACTTGTAAGGTTTCTCTCCCGTATGAAGTCTACGATGGCCTACAAGGGATGATGCGTGACTGAAGGTCTTGCCACATTTATTACACTTGTAAGGTTTCTCTCCAGTATGAAGTCTACGATGGCCTACAAGGGATGACATCTGACTGAAGGTCTTGCCACATTCATTACACTTGTGAGGTTTCTCTCCAGTGTGAAGTCTACGATGGTATGAAAAGGATGACGTGTGACTGAAGGTCTTGCCACACTTACTACACTTGTAAGGTTTCTCTCCAGTATGAAGTCTACGATGGTATACAAGAACTGACATCTGACTGAAGGCCTTGCCGCATACATTACACTTGTAAGGTTTCTCTCCTGTATGAAATCTACGATGGCGAACAAGGGATGATGCATTAATGAAGGTCTTGCCACACTCATTACACTTGTGAGGGTTCTCTACAGTATGAAGCCTATGATGGCATACAAGTGATGATGGGTGACTGAACGTCTTGCCACATTCATTACACTTGTAAGATTTCTCTCCTGTATGAAGACTACTATGGCGTCCAAGGGATGATGGGTAATTGAAGGTCTTGCCACACTCATTACACCTGTAAGGTTTATCTCCAGTATGAAGTCTACCGTGGCATACAAGATGTGATATCTGACGGAAAGTCTTGCCACACTCATTACACTTGTTAGGTTTCTCTCCAGTATGACGTCTATGATGGCCTACAAAGGATGATGGGTGGCTGAAGGTCTTGCCACACTCATTACACCTGTAAGGTCTCTCTCCAGTATGAAGTCTACGATGACAGGTAAGGTATGACGCCTGACTGAAAGTCCTGCCACACTCATTACACTTGTAAGGTTTCTCACCAGTGTGACATCTACGATGGCGTTCAAGGTATCGCTTCTGATTAAAGACTTTTCCACACACATCACATTCATATTGTTTCTCTCCTAAATGGATTATCTGATGTTTCCTTAAGAGTGAGTTACAATTAAGGGCTTTGCCACTCTCATTACATTGGGAAGACTTTTCTCTCATGTGTACTTCCTGTTCTTGTGTGAGTAATGAAGAATGGAGGAAACTGTTGTCACAGTTATTAGAAATGTGGGTTTGGGGCCCACAAAAAATTATTGGGGATGCTGAAACCAAGGAAGCATCATTGACAGACTTCTCAACTTCATTACCAACTTTCCTTTTGGTCGGAAATATTTGCTGTTCAGGCAGATGCAAATGAAAGCTTAAACCAAGCTGATCTTTAATAGGCTTGTTTCCAGCATGACTTTCATCATATTGCTCTGTACTACTAGTCAACTTTTTGATTTTTGTCCTGGGTGCTTCATGGGTATTTCTTTCATGTTCTTGCCACTGAAACTCAAAGTCATGAATATCTTTCTCAATTTCCTGAAAGCAAAAATCTCCACTGTGATGACTTTCGTGTGTTTCCAATGTCCCTGTGTGGAACGTTTCTGTATTGCCTGCCCCTGTTGACGAGAACTTCTTCATCATGCATTTGGAAGAGATATCTAAAAAATATAAACACCAAGAGGTTTCCAATTCAGTACAGAGGGTAAATGATACTGAAATGTGTTAAGTATGACACAAAAAACAATACTTATTTTAAGCTTTCAAGCATTATCTCCCACATTTAGTAACACAAAAGGAATGAAATTCTTTAATAAATAAAGGGTGATCCAATAAACCAATGAATAAGTAAATAGCAATTATGGCAATTACATGGACTTCAAATCACTTCTACAGAAGCCTATTTCCAGTATCATGAGAAAACACCAACAGGGCACCAGCATGTGTGAGCCTAAAATAAGGAGTATTTTTCCACTGTGACCCTCAAGTGTATAACACTTTGCAAAACACATACCACTGTCACATCAATGAAGATAAAAATAAATATTCTTCCTATTGACAGCATATTTGCTGTATACAAATAAATGGTAAAGGACTACACAATATACTACACTGGTAAATAGCTACTTGAGAGCCTCAGGCACAAGAATTGCTTGAACGTGGGAGGCAGAGGTTGCAGTGAGCTGAGATCGCACTCCTGCACTTCAGCCTGGGCGACAAGTGAAACTCTGTTTCAAGAAAAAGAAAAAAAAAGAGGAAAAGTTAATACAGTATTTTTCTAAATATATATCATAAAATTACCTATATCCATGCAGAACAGGCACTTGGGACATTTTTAAAACAATTGTTTTTTTTTTTTTT